ACCTCAGGTTCTTCCCAAATCCTCACCCTCCAGCTGTTGATCCGTCGCCACTGTCCAAGCCGGAAGGTACGCAGCGCAGTGGGACCCATTTTTCTTCTTTTTTCGTATTGTTGAATGGTGCAACGTTTACGTTTTCTTCTGTGCGTAGCTGCTTAACATTTGCTGCATTACCAATCGCTAGCCAGGCTGACATCAGTTCGTACCATCCAAGTTTAACTGAGTAAATGCGACACATTGTCTTCTGCTTGAAGCTACTAGGACATTTTCCCCACCGTGCCTTGAGACTGTCTTATCCACTACCACTTCGACAAAATGCCTGGATAGGACTTTTGAGCATCTTTTAGATCGATTTTCAGAGCTTATAATTTAACGAGGCGTCAGTTTACCTTCAGTATTGAATGCACTTGCAATCAGAACATCCTCCATATCACCGAGTGTTAGTTCCTCGCGTATTTTTCCTTGTGTATAGTGCTCAAGTGCTTTTTGTGCTATCTCGTTACTTCCAGAATTACTGCAATGGAAAAAGAAACTGTAAGAAAATTATTTTGTCAATGAAATGAAACGATTCACTCATAATTCAGAACTGATAACTAAAAGAAGCGTTACCTTAGAAAAATGAAAATACTTTTTCGAAAATCAACACTTCCAACATGATCGTAATAATCAATGAACGGTTTTATAGCATCCATCACTTTAGCAGGCATTTTGTCCACCTCGTCGAAAATGAACAAACTTCGTTCGCAGTTTGTTACGTTCCCCCGTATCCAAGACCGTAACTGCGCCTGCAATTTTATCGTTCGTAACCAAGAAAACTTCATTTCACTAAATACTCATCACACACACACCCCCACTCGTACACACACACACACACACACACACACATGCAGACAAACACGAAGAAGAATAAACATACGCATGCATACTTGCAAAAGAATCTCGGAGATTAAAAATTTTTCCTGAGTATTTACGTATGCGTAGTCTTGCATTTTCCTCAAATGATATGTTCTTGTCGTCTTTGCTCCTCTTCCCTCCGTTCCTCAGTTTCTCACTGTACGATTTGCGCCTGCGACATCGCAATTCATGTTTATGCATAGTCAATCACAGTGACTTCTGGTGCCATGCCACTGCATCCACTACTGGTAAGCTGCACTCGGCTTTCCGAATGGATTTTGCTGAAATTAATTTTGCAAAAAATACTGACTTGGTAAAGAGGGATGTCCTGTGGATTTGAGAAATGCAGCGTTGAAATATATATGTGAATGAAGTCACTCTGTACACCTTTCCTGCAAGAATATTTTGATATTTCTTCAAAACGAAACAACTGTAACGCTTTTAATAAAACACACACAAAAAAATCAAACCCCATCTCACATTTTATCAGAGGAAAATTGAAATAATTGCCCAGTTAATGAGAATTTTATCAGTAACGCTCATCAGCTGATAATAAATTTCTTACTAGCTAAGAAGTAAGTAGAAAACAGCAGTCTAGAAACCCTACGATGCTAAACAATTTAGTCTACATACCGAAAAGAAATCAATTCCCCAGCAACAGTTTTCAATCATACTGCGTCTCTTAGATGTATTTTGTGAAGGTCATATCGGCAAAAAAATAAGGATAAAAGCTAACCTGAACAAATTTTCGGCAATCATTGAAGCAAGATAATTTTTCCCGCAGCCCGTCCACCCGTGAAACGACATCACTAACGCCTTTTTCGGCTGACTGAAATACAGAAGTAGCCAAAAGCGGGCCGCCTTTAGAAAGAGGGTTGCCTTTCCAACACCTTTTGTTCAGACGAAGTAAAAACTAGTCAGCCGTGGTTGACAAACCCAAAACAGTTACACCAAATGGATGCTGCCCTCAATTGGAAAAGCAAACAGACGGGTCCAAAAATGTTACTTTTAATAACAGAACCCTCATAAATATAACATTTAATCAAAGGAAGCAATTAAATATGAAAAGTTCAATTTCGAAGAAGCGGGCGCAAGTTTGTTTGCATATACAGTCTATGTTTCATACCTCTGTTGTAAACACAGACGGAGCATTTGATGCGAGTAGGAGTAGGAATCGTTAATACAGCCTCCTACTAACAATGTAAATAATCGGCCAACGCACCGGCTGCCGGTGTGAAGATGCGTTTTTTGCATAGCTTCCCGCAGTTCTTGTTGCTACCGGCACCGGTTTTTCCGGCAAATGCTTGTGGTTGAATAAATTAAGACTGGCCGCCAGAACTGTCAGGAAACACTCCCTTAAAATTTTAGCCTTTTAACTTTCCTGGCTCCTGAGTTAGCAACTTACTGGAAAAAAAATTTCACGGGCCCGTACGTACGTACCACATATACCCGACGTCTGGGTTTGAGCTCGTTGAGGCTTACGTGGACGGATAACATCCTCTTAAAGTTCCAGTCTTTTAGTTTTTCAGGTTCTCAAGTTAGCAACTTACCCCAAAAAAATTTTGGCGGGCCCACACATGGGTACCACGCATACCCGGGACCGGTTTGAAGCTCATTAAGGCTTACGCTGATGGAGAACATCCCCTTAAAATTTCAGCTTTTTAGCTTTTCTGGTTCCCGAGTTAGCGACTTACCGGCAAAAAACTTCCACGGGCCCGTACGCAAGTACCACGCGGGTAAGGGCGCCCATTTTGGGGGATGAGGCCCGTACGTGCTTGCAGATTAATTTCCCGAAATTTTAGCCCTTGTAACTTTTGTAGGCCTTGAGATGAAAGATCGTGACAGACGCACACACGGACAGACAGACACACGCGCAGACAATCACCCGTTAATATGCGTTTTCTGCCTTGCATGGATGCAAAAAACGCATAAAAAGAAGCAAATTTAAACGGGCAAGAGTACAATAAAAAGTGATATACTGATGAACTAGAAGTATCAGAAAAGAGGAAAAAAAAAGGAAGGGCTAAATTGGCAAAACAGTCTTAATTTATTAAAAAAAAAGGACAAGTAAAGTTAAAAAAAAAAAAAAAA